TGCCCTGAATATGCCATATATTTGGGTTTGAAGTGTTTTGTCTTTTTTAATTCTACTAAAGCTGTATAAGGCACGCTATTGTGGTCAATGAGTTTCAGCAGTGATCTCTTCTTTGACAGGACATTCAAGACATTGTTGTTCTATGACTGAGTGTGTCTACCTTTTTGTTTCAAACACATTTTATGTGAGTATCTGGAGGATTTATCTTTGTCTTTAACAATGTATAAATACATGTACTTGACATGAAATCAATCCTTTTTATGTTTAGCTTCTGGATGTAAACAATTTTATTTTCCAGTGAAGAGAAAGCTTTTTATCTAAAAAGTATATATCCATGACAGAATATGCTTGACAAAATACAGTTTGTAATACATGTTTGGTAAAGTATGGATTTCCCAGATGCAATTTGTGCCACTCATCTGTCAAAACAAAGCAGGTTTTGAAATGAAGTTGGCATACTCCAATTCTGCACATAGAAGAACCAATATGTAGAAGTATACTTTTTGAGAATTGAATGAAAAACAAAAGTAAAATTTAAGAGTTGAATGAAATCTAGTTGTCCAGGATGACATGCTCTTGTAGTATTTTCAGATATTTATGGTTTCTGACTCCGATTATTACCAAACTGCTATTATTTTAGTTCAAGTAGGTAGCTGCATCAGCATGTACAGCCTGTAAAGGAGTAAGTGAAGGTTTATTCCATGCTGAAAAGAGAAGAAAAGAAACACAATGTTTCAGCAGTGGAGCCTTGTTGGGTGTTAACAGAAACATTGTGTTTCTTTTCTTCTCTTTTCAGCATGGAATAAATCTTTACTTGTTCCTTTGTTATGATTTTAGCATGGTGTTGTAGAAATCAAATGGCTATAGCATTTTCACCACCTTAAATTGCTGTTTATATCCTGACAACAGTGTTTGTCTTACAACACTAAGTGCTAGACCTTACTTCCTATTCCTTCAAGATGTAGTGCATTTTATTACCGTAGGGCACAACACATATTGAAACTACCATTCTGTATTTTCCAGCATCACTGAATTGAAAATAAGTCCTTCTGCGGTCTCTAGGTTGTCAGCTTAACAGCTATTAAAGCATAAAGGTCTGAAATTGGTCTTGTTAAGTCTGGTGTTCCTCAGGGATCAATACTGGGCCCCTTGCTCTTCAGCATTTACATGTTTCCACTTGGTCAGCTTTTTAGATCACATGGCCTCAGGTATCATTTCTATGCTGATGATACTCAAATATACATCAATACCAAACCTGACACTGATGTGATTGTCTCTATTCTGTCTAATTACATCTCTGACATCATAACTTGGATGACTCAAACTTTCCTTCATCTTAACTGTGACGAGACTGAAGTCATGCTTATTGGCACCCCCCCATCAACTTGGTAAAGCCAATCCTGTAACCCTATCTGTAGATGGTTCTGTACTTGAGCTTCAGTCTAAATTGAAAAACACTGGGGTGATATTCGATTCTGGCTTAACATTCAACCCACATGTGCAGCATATTGTCAAAACATATTTTTTTCACCTCAGAAATATCGCTAGACTATGCCCTATGCCATCACTAACTGTGGCTGAAAAGCTGATCAACACATTTGTGTTCTCTAGAATTGACTACTGTAATGCTCTACTGGCTGGGGTATCTAAATCTACAAACTGCAGTATGTCCAAAATTCAGCAGCCTGAATCCTGACCAGGTCTAGTGCAAGAGATCACAATACTACTATCCCGGAGTCCTTGCACTGGCTTTCTGTCAAATTCCGTGTGGATTTTAAAATCCTCATGCTCACCTATAAGGCTCTGTATGGCTTGGCACCTCAGTACCTGTCTGAACTATTATCGCCCTACTCCCCACCTCGCAACCTTCGCTCTTCTAATTCTGGTCTCCTAACTGCCCCCCAAGCCCATCTACATTGTATGGGTGACAGGGCCTTCTCCTGTTATGCCCCCAAGCTCTGGAACTTTCTGCACAAGGATATCAGAAAGTCACCTTCTCTAAACTCCTCCAAATCCAGACTCAAAACCCTCTTCTTCAGAAAAGCCTTTATTTAACTGGTTCCATTCTTCACCCCTCTGCTTTTCTTAGTACCACCATCCACAGTCTCCTCTGTATATTGTAATTGTGTTTTACCTTGTGTATTCTTTTTTATTGTTGTTGTCATTCTGTAAAGCGCTTTGAGAAGCCACCTTTAAAAGCCCTATATAAAATAAATCTTATTATTATTATTATTATTATTATTATTATTATTATTATTATTATAAAGAGTTTGTCTACGGTGTAGATACTGTATGTACACCATTGAAAGAGTTGAATGATTACATTTTTTAGTCTTCTGCAAAATAATTGACATAGTTGCTGCACAACAGCATCTCATCAGTCCATTAACAGTATATTTATATACAGTACAAATATATGCACTTTTTTGAATGCATCAAGACAGAGCTGATGAACCATGTAAACAGCACACAGTACAGTATGTCATTCTTGTTTAGATGCACTCTGGCTCTCATTTGTTGTAGTTGCTATAGAGACCTATTTTAAACCTAATGTTCAGAATGTATCTCTTTTCCCTGTTAATCTTGTGTTTTTAGAAAATTGTAATAATCTGTAATTAGCATTTAAGTCAAATGCCTGTACCATTCCGTTATCTTAATAGCTGCCACTAGACAACTGAGACAGTCCACTTCCTCTTTTGCACATTAATAAGGTTTCGAAGGCTCGAGCACAAAACTGCAAACCAAATCAAGTATCCAAAATTGTAAAATAGAGTTCTTGTTCCCATCAAAAATAATATCCTTCTGGCATTGTTGGCGACTCTTTAAAAGCATCATCATACATGAAAAATAAACCAAGGACAACTAATCTAATACCACCTGATAATCAAATAAATTGGTGAGTATTTTGTTATTCATACAGTCCAAAAAGGTAAGTTAACTCGACTGAAGACATCAGTACAGCAAAAACAGTTCAAAATGAAAAACTAGGCACGAAATGATGCACAATGTTTAGATGCTGTTTATCAGTGTGCATCACAACATCCCCTGCTTAGAAAGCAACTATTTAATGGAAAGGACATTAAAATATTCTATTTATTTTATGGTCCTCCGAAATTAAGATGATCTGAACACTATAGTTTATAAATGAGAATACAGTATGTGCATTTCTGGGATGGTCAATTTTTCTTCCATGAACAATCAAAACAATTGTGAGGGATCAACATCGACAGAAGAAGAATGTGAGTGTTCTGACTAAGACAAAGCCACACAGTGAATAATATGCAACAAATGATCACTGAAATTACATGCTATGACACACCGAGCATTAAGTGCATGAGATTTAATTGTGCATGTCAAAAAAGCTACATTCAAATATGGGTTTGGTTAAGACTGAAGTGATAAAGATTAGACTGATTTTAAATTCATATGCCTTAAGAAATGCACATAGCATTTTTATGAGCCACAATAATAATGCATCTATTTAACTGAACAACTCACTCTAAGACACGGAGTCTGTTTTTTGCTCAAGTGATAAGCCCCTTAATTTCTTTTACGTTCCAAACAAGAAGGAATTACTCTGACTGCTTAACTGCTTTAAAAGGGAAGTAACAGTCAGAAATCACAACAGATACTACTGTATAAGGAATATACGACTTAGATTCATTTCCCCATTAATGTGTCACTTCTACCATTTCAAAAGTTTTTCACTCTGCCTACCCTTGTCGGGCTGGAAAATATGACTATCTTCCCTCTATTTTGGAAAGTAGGAAAGACTGCAAAACTTTGAAAAGACTATTATGAAACGATGCTACTTTCAGGGGTACAAATTGTACAAGGGGTACAAATTTGATGAGAGCTGTGGAAATGCATTGAATTTCTGCGTCACTTAGATCTCATAGGGATTTTTAGGGATGTAAAAGCCTGAAAAGTGATGGTGAAAGGCAAGGTATGACATGATGTTGTCAATTTTTTGTGAATATTTGTTTTCAAGCAACAGTATTGCATCCTGGTTCATCCTGAGACATTTCTTGCAAAGAAACATGTTGTGTCTGTAAGGTATAAATGCCAACCATAATCATATGTAATCATATGCTCCTATAAGCGGACACAAGCTATTCCCTGTTATGAAATAAAATTTGTAAGAAAAAGAAAAACTACCAAGTCAAATAATTGCTTCTTTTCCATTTGCAGGAGTTCATGGGCCTGATTCAAATTTACGGTTTCCGTGGCGACCATGACCTCCAAGCCAAAATTGCAGCCTTAATCATAATTAATATTTTGATGGATGCAGAAATTCAGTCTCCTCACACAGTCATTACAATGCTGCCCAAAACCCCTGAACTCAACTACCCCCCCCAGCTCTGATCAAGTTTAGGCAGGCTATATTAACTCACTAATTCGAAAAAGGAGAAATGTTAATTGAAGTTAAACATTAATTTGGTGTATCTTATGTTTCTACAATCAAATTTACTAAGAGCAAGATCTTCATTTAATTAAATACATATCTCTAAACCTAATGTGCGTGAAAATATAATAACCAGGGTACGCCATGATATTTGGTGAAAACTGATGAGCACATTTGTGATTAGGTTAGAGAAAACCTTGCAGCGGGGAAACTCCTCCACCAGCACCACTCCTGAAATTAGTGGGCTGAACTTTACCGTACAGCAGCTCACGACACAGTTACTTTACCCTGTGTCGTGAGCTGCTGTACGGTAAAGGTTTTGCCATTGTTACTCTCGACTTTGCATTGCTAAAATGCTGTTTTCTGGGGAATGATATCAACTGTATTGAAGTATTACCAACCCCGTGCTGTCACTTATCTGCATTCACAAAAGAGACTCACATTTAAACATGTTACATTAATAAACTAACAAATGTTACAGCATTTAATAAGCATATAAGAGCTTATTTTTGCAAGTGTCAAAACGAGATGCTAATGAATCTCCTTCACTACAAGGCTCCAAGTACAGTGGCGCTTGTGAGATGAGATACTGTACCTTGGAAGTTTCCAGCCGACAGATAGAGCCAGGTGAGAGCTGGAACGAAAAGCAGAACTAGAGAGGCAGCAAGGAACTTCCGGCGCCCTCGACACATTCCCAGCATCCTCTGCGGAGCGCACGATGGTCTCAGAGTGCGGTACAACCTCTATGTGGGCAAGAGCTGGTTGCCAGGGGGGCGCATGGCACAGCCTTTAGGACAAGAGGGGAAGAGAAATCGTTAAGAATCCTCAACACACAAAACTCAGGTAAAATAATATATGCAAATAAAATCCACAAGCAGCATTTAAACCTCTCCAAAAAAGACATGCTACCGGGTCCGATCCAACGTTCCTCTGGGGAACATATTGGGACCAAATGCTATCGCTATTTAAAAGTAATCTATTACAGTTCCAAGTTAATTATGTAGTGGGTTACTTTTAAATTTATTGGAAATTGAGTTAAATTATTTTTATAAGGTACTGTAATATATTACTTTACATACGTATTCACAACACCATGTAGATCACTGTAACTGACAGATTTTTAAACATACTTCATCCCAAATTCCTGTGGCTTTAAAATGCAATTGCTTACACAATTATGGTCATATTTTAAAAGTACCTTTCCACAGTACTAGCTATCAAACCATTCGGTCCCGTCTGTGTCAAATACCAGAGTGCTTTTTGGCAGTTATGTCTACAATTTTGATTGTTGTCAAGAAATACATTCCAGTGTCAGAAGTACAAAGAACTGTAGAACTTCCTCTAAAGTGTTGTAGTTTTCAGCAGTATAATGTGGTACGGAATCGTGTTTAATTCTGACTAATTTGCTAATGACACATGCAAAGCCTCTGGGTGACTCACAGCTGATCCAGATGAAGTATCATGTAAAAGTAACACCAATCTAATCAGAATCAAGTGTTCTCATAAGAATAACATATTCTGGATAAGAAATAGCAGTGAGGATTTTCTATTATTAAAATCAACCTTTTGATTTCCTTCAGATTTATCTGCAGGTATTTAGACTTTCTATATGACAGTTCAAGATCTAAAAGAAATATCAGACCAACTATGTGATTTGGATTTTTCAGAATCACCAGGTGATTAAGCTTTTCATCATGAGATCAATAATGTTTGTGTGCTCGCCTTCTGAATGGAAAACGCAACAAAATCGCAGTTGCCAATTTCAATATCACCATGGAAATTTGAAAGTGGATCCATGTGATTTCAGGCACTGCCAGCCTGAAAAAGTATGTTTATTTGCTTACGAATGTGACTCTTTCTACAGAAAAGACATGACATACTGAATGCAGGAAATCCTACCACGTAGAAATTAATGTTTCCTTGCAGACTTAAATGGATCTCAATAATTATGGCAGCTTTGTTTTGGCAATTCTTTTTGTTCCTTCAAATAAAAATAAATCCCTCCATTTCTGCCTCATTGTGTCAAATAGTTGGAGTTACCTGAGCTGTCAATGAGCAGGAGTGAAAACCAAGATTAAAATACCGCTAACCAAAAACAAAAAAATATACAGTAGATAGTATCTTGGCATTTTACTCCTTGCACAAAAAAGAAGTTACAAAGCATTTAAACAGTACCATCCAACCACTTTCTAACTGTTTTATCCAATACAAGCTTGTGAGGGAGTCGAACATCAATCCATTGCAAACAATGGGCAAAGGCAAGATACAGCCTGGATGGGACACCAGTTCACTACTAAAACCGCACAAACAAGCACACACTCGCTCAAACCAGGGTCGATTTTCCCCAGAAGCCAGTTAACCCACCAGTATGTCTTTGGACTGTGGGAGGAAAACAGAGCACCTGGAGGAAACCCATGCATACGTGGGGAGAACATGCAAACTCCACACAAACAGCACCCCCAGGAACAGAACCCAAGAATCCAGGGCTGCGAAGCAGCGATTACTGACCACTGCACCACCATGCAGACGTCATTAAAACAGAACTGTTTTTCTTAATTTAAATTGGAGCACCACTAAAGCCTAAAACAATTGAAGAAGCCCCAGAAATTGTACTGTAGCTCTTAAAGTGATTAGCTTTAGACATTTCAATTCCCTGAGAAAAGCCACTGTCTCACCAAGCCTAATTTTATAACAGCAATTGAGGTCCTCTCAAGCTGAATGGTTCAGACACCAAACATATCAAAGTGTTAAAAAAAGAAAGAATATTATTCATTCTCAATTAAAAGTTTCAACAAAACTCAAGAGAGTTATCTAGTGTCTGCAGAAGGGCATGCTTTAAAAAGGAGAAAAGGAAGCACTGGATTATGGCCATCTGTGTAGCATACTTTCTGAGATCACCTCTGTTCCTCCACAAAGGTCATGAAAATCTAATAATACAAATAAGCAAAAGGTCATAACAGCAGCAGTTACCACCAGAGCTTTGATAACCACTGGGTTAGAACAGCACACACTTCGATAATAAAGGAAAATGTAAAGCCTTATCAAAGTCACAAGAACTGATTAACAGCATTAGACCAGCTAACCTTATCTCAAAACATAATAACAGTTTTCACTGACATAAATTCTGCTATTCAGAAAATGGCCGAAATAAAATAACGTCTATAACCACAATCCTTAAGAATCGGAATAGCTATGAAATAGCCTACTTTGCCAGTGGAAATTTATACCTAGTGGGGCTAAGATTTATTGTAGTTATTCTTAGGACTCTCATTAGTGGTTTTGGAAGCATTTAACATTGAGAACAGGAGCACGTCTTTACGCAAAAGGCTGTGGAAGTGTGGAACAAGCTACCTAGCCATGTTGCTGGTTCCTTTCAAGAAACAGTGGGTGGAGACCCTTAGATAAATTAACAGCTAGCTACACCATGGACTAGAGAGGCTGAATGGCTTCCTCTCATTTGTAACCATTCTTATGTTCTTATCTTATTAATTGGGTACCACAGCTTTCAAAGCACAGTATGAAGTTGCTATAATGGATTCTCAGCAACAGCCTGTCGGACTCTTAAAGGTGTGTTTTGAAAACTCTTTCATAGCAGAACAGAAGGATGCAAATGAATAGATTTACAGAATGTTAATAACTCTACCTTTATGATCACATTTATTCAATACCCAGCGTTTCTCTGAAACAGAGCCACTCCACAACATTATTATGCTGTCATATGAAAAAAAGAAGCTGAAAGTGAGCCTATCTGTAATGCTGGGCAGGCCAGACAACTGTGAAGTATCTGAGAGGATATAAACAGAGCCATTCCATTTGTGCTTATTAAAAAGATTACATTTTAAAACAGACCCTGTTCCTGACTATTATGAACCCTACAGTATGTGAGGTTTGTCACACATGAGAGATCTATGAAAGGATACATTCAGACACTGAATACTTGACTTGAAGATTCCTTAACCTTCTTGCATTATTCTCTGTGGGTCTCGTTAGAAATGTACATCAACGGCATGATGCTTCCCAAACTACTGCACACAAGCAGGAGAGATGAATGCTGCTTTGGCGGTGACACAGATTAAGTCATAGATTTTCCACTCAGTCTCCTGGGAAAAAGCTGCTTGGAGACAGAGGGAGAGGACAAAGGCTGAGGAAAGGCCTCCTACTGAACAGAAAGGTGGAAAGTGAAGAAGTCTGATTATGTAAAGGAGTCTTCCACAGAGACCGGCACCACCCGCAGTTCCTACTTAACTATTCTTCAGCATCTTGATAACAGCTGAGACACAGAAGTCAGGCGCTGCACAAACAATCTCGCACCATTTTCTGCTTTTAACATCAAAGCAATTAGAAAAAAAAAACCTTTGACAGCTTGTTTATCGAGCGGGCTACCTTCTGGGAGCAGGGACCCTCCCTCAGGTCTGACAATTCTACGGGTGTGAATTACAGTCATGGAGACAATGGCTAAAGGGACTTCTGGGTGTAAATTTATGTGGTTAATTCACACCCAAATTATTAATGTTTAATTGATGTGGACAACATTTTTTCATGCCTTCAAGCCACAATAGTTACAATATTTATCTTAAAAACATGAAAATTAATCTTATTTTAGACCTCTAACTGGTTTAACCTTGCTTCATATATTTCAGTGCATTGTGGATGTATTAACAACATGACCAGTTGGTTAGATTTTTCAACTGGTTCCTGTTCACAGACGCAAGGTAATAGTCATGATTTTGAGAAGCTGTCTGTCGAGCAAACAGGCTAGCCTCTCAATCCTCTATGATAATTGCTTGGCAAGGACTCAAAACCAGTGGTCATTGAGAGCAAACAACCATTTCCTCATGTTGCAAGAATCTGCAAAAGCTGACTTTACCCACTTAACAGAAGAAGGTAATGAAAATCAGACTGCAGCTCTCTGTAACTACTGCGTAGACTCTTCCATTTCCTCTCATCTGCTACATATGCTAAAACTACCAGAAATTTAAAAATGAACATAAAAATATGATCTTAAAATGTTTGCGAATTTGTTATGTATTACTGTATTTTAAAGACTTTAGGAGAAGTCCCTTGACTCATCTTTATGAGTTAATGACATATGTTAAATACCACTAATAGGTTCTTGACATTAGAAATGCAGTAGATACACAATCATGGCAAAATGTGTGGTACAGGGCTAAAAAAATGGGCGTATTGGGAAAAGGAGCTTCAGTAATGTGATCTTTGTAGATACCAGGGCAATCACCAAACAGACAAATGCTCTGGTAAGTAACAGACCAGTACACAAACATACAGAGGCAATTTCAATTTTGAAATGCAAATTCCCCTAATTAGGCCTCCATGATCCAGAAAACATAATCAAATATTGATGTCTGGAGTTCAAAGGAGGACTGTCATGTCAAGGCTAAAGAGGAGGAGTTCTGAAGACTAAAAGAACTTCACTTCTCTAACTGCTTAGAACACTTGCCAAGTAATGTATAAAAGAGCACGTAAAGGTTAATTCCAGCTGGAAAAGTAGAAAAAAGAAACAAGATTTCTGCACTGGAGCCGTCTTTGGTTGTCACCTGAACGTGATCATTTCATCAGTTGTCTGATACTGATTACGGGTTTAACCTTGTAAATCCCTCAGCAGCAGTAAGATTCTAAGGGATTATCGACATGGATTTAGAAAAGTTAGATCTTACATATCTAGTTTGTTAAGAGTTTCTTATGTAACAGCATAGGGGTAAAACTACAGCATAAGGTACGTTTAGATTTTCAGAAGTTTTGCCAAAGTTACTCTTGAAAGAGTCATTC